TGTCGCTCCTTTCGCCGTCACCAAATCGACCCACAGGGAATTCTGTACCTTGGTGTTTTCTAACTTTGCACTGAAATCACAAATGACGAACTGACACTGGCTCTTTTCATGTTCATACATATCTTCTGTTTGTTTCTATGAAGCTTCAGTCTTTGCATAAGGATTGCTTGATTTTGGCATATATACTCGGATGACTTGGAGTTGATATCTCTTTGTAACTCTCAGCCAGTTTTGTGTACGTCAGTAAAATGCTATCCAATGGTACTCGATTATTCTGTAATCTTTTGTTTATAGCAAATCCTTCTCCTGTACTTACGTTTGCCATTCGTTCAGATTAGGAGGTGTCCGTTGTTAAGCTCCGGCAGCCCTTCCTTCTTTCGTCCCACTTCGCTGAGTCCTACATTGTCGTACTTGATTTTCGTAAGTTCTTCGAGCTCTTGAAGCCTTGCTTCAACTATTCCGTGTGTGCGCTCCCATTATCGGTATCGTTCTGGAGGAGTGACATGGCATAATGGCATCGCGCTGTCTGTCTCCTCCGTTCTGAGCGGGCTGCGGCTCCTTTTTTGACTGGTATGTTCTTCGTCTTCTTGTCAGTCTTGGACAACCGTCGCCGTAGTGCCTACGCCCATAGCTGCCAGAAGGTGTAATGCAAGTTCTGGGGGGCCGACTTTCGTCAGTGTTCTCAGTTCCCTAGCAGCCTCTCGACGAGTGGTAACGCGGATAACGTAAGATGACGAGCTGTTATAACATTGGATGGCATCAGTAGGATGACTGAAAGCTGGCAAAGTTTTACGAGAGACTTCGTCACAGTTTTAGTTTTGCTCGTTTCTTTTCCGCTCTTAGCTCGTTTAACATTGGAGTTGCACTGGTAGGCTCAGTGATCGCACCTATCTTCGTCGATGTTATTTAGAAATGATATGCCGGATACTTAGTAATGCGTTATTGAAACAACCTGTGTCGGTCCACCGCGGGCAAATAGAATAAGTATTACTGCTTCTGTACGTTACCGGTGACGATACTCGACAGAGTTTGGCACACGACAGTCCGAGTCACACTAACTTGCAAGCGAAGCGATTTTTTTTTACAAACCGGGAAATCACAGTTAGTTGTAAATGGTTTCGACACGATTTTCAAATGCACACGAGTAGCTCGCAGTTAGAATGCTTTTCACACGGCACGGCCATGGAATAAGTCAGACATTGAGGTGCTCGTTAGACATAATATCGAATGGCTCGCATGATTATATTGGGAATCTGGCATTGTCGTGGTTTGTATTATCGAATCTAGAACACTGAGGTTACCGAATTTACGGAAGAGCGAGGTTATTAGAAAACATGTCGGAAACTGTCACTCCTGCATTCTGATTAGAATGGCACGCTATGATGATCAAGAAATGGAACCATATTACTGGTCGCACATGCGTTGGAAGTCAACGTAAAATGTTGAAGATGTAGAAGCGCCTCTTGGCGACGAATCCTCTTAAACGACAGATTATCGCTACTAACAGTGCGGCATTTATTAGCGAAAAATGCATAGTGTTTACTCGAGACACGGCTAAAATTATTGAAACAACCAGATCTTTAGTTCAATATATAGTTCAGTGTTAACACAAGATTCAACGTAGCACATCTGCTATGATTAAATAGAGTATATTCACATGGAACACTTGAACCGGCCAGTAATTGGTGATGAATTGTGCCGGCCGTAATTCGTCGCCGCCACTCCCACCATTTATTGCAGTTTAAGGCCTTCTCCCTCCAAATGCATTTTTCCCGCCTCCTAATATAATTTTCCCATTGTCGTGATGGGCGACCGAACGACCTAGTTAGCCCTCGAGGATACAGTTGGCGATCTATACCGACCAACTCCCATGGGTGAGCCGAGATATGTGCCTGACTCATCGTTGCTTCTCTTTTCTGATTTCGACGACTAAGCCCTTCATTCTCGCCCACTCCCTGCTCACCTGGTTGAGATGTGGTCGAAACGTGATATTCGCAGCATTCTTTTTCCATGGCTCTCTCAGTGATGGATAGCTGACACTCTTCGGCTTTACTCAGTGACCACGTCTCCTAGCCATATATCACTGCCGGCAGGACGGTAAGGCGGCAAAGGTTGGGCGCGAGCTTCCTTCCTGACATTGTACAAGGAGGAAGTCCTTGATGGGATGGAACGCGGGCAATCCGGCCTCTTTTTCCTCTGACTTTCTCCAGCTTCATTATTCCGCATGTTGATCTCATGGCCCAGGTAAATATATTTATCGACTTCTTTCATCTTTCTTGCCGTTTGATATTACCTGGGTCTTTGGCAGGGCATCGGATCGCAATATCTTCGTTTCTGACCGATTGATTCACAGCCCGACTTATATTTTTTCTATCAAGTTCTTGCGGCAAGACTTGTAGCTGACTGGCGTTTTCCACATACAACACCATACCACCATACAACATCAGCGAGCCCGACCGTTCATGGTTTCACCGATGTTCATCTCACCTTTACTGTTTATCCTGCGGAACACCATTTCCAAGTAGGCAGTGAGGAGTTTTAAGAAAATGGTGGCTGCTTATTTCACGCTCTTCTCTGCGGGGATTTAGAGGAACGTGTCGAACTGCGTGATGTCTGTGATAGTGTACAGTCGAAGTTCGTTTCCTCTAGTCGGTTGATGTCATGTTTGTAGATGCCTTGTTCTGCTATTGCAGTCCACACTACCATGCTCGACGTTATCGAACGCGATTCTTGTAGTCGACAATGGCTGCACACGTAGGAGCTGGAATTCCCTCGTGTACTTTGAGAGTTGACTTAAGGTAAAAATTTAATTCGTTGTGCTATGGTTCCTTCAAGATCCTGCCTGTTCTGTTCGCTTCTGTTCGTCCTGACTGGTTAACGGTTTTGACTTGGAATGTTTTTAGGGTGTAGACTTGTGAGAGCAGGCAACTTGGGAGATAGTTCTTCAGATGTTTTTCCGTCTTTCTTAAACAACGCGATAGCTTTTCTCTTTCTAGTTCGAAGACATCTATTCCGTTTCCAGATAGCAACCGAACTTCTTCGCTAGAGCCCTCTACAGCGTCTGATCACCAGCTGTGATCATTTCAATTGTCAGACTGTCTCTTCTTGTGACTGTTTCTTCATTCATTCATTTGTTGTGCGGAATGCGAACTTTCGCTTATGATGCCAGAAAGTGCACTTTTTTCTGATTGTTGGAGTTATGGAGAGAAGCAAGTCTTTGACTTAATCAGCTGAGTGTAAAAGTTCTGTCAAATAGACGACATCTCCGCTCTGACAGATATTAATGCGCTATGGCCATTCTTCAACATTTTGACGGTCGACTGATAAAGCGTTAACTCCCTCCTGCATTGTTTGATGCTTCTGCGACCTTCGGCTGTTTTCGCCAATTTTTGTAATCGGAAGGTCACAAAGTTCTCCTTCAGATTTCTTGTGATGAACTTTTAATGAAGAGATTACCTTAGTTTATTCGAAAAAGGGTGTTTTATGACATGTCAGGTTTTTAGAGCAAGTGTTTTAGTAGTCAGCTTATTGTAGATGGCTTTCATATTTCAGATGAACCTATGGAGCAGCAGTGCAACAGAATGAGCGGTTCATTTGAACCTGTGGCAGCAGCGAAGATGTCGTCCAGTACAAACGTCGTCTTTCATTCGAATGGACTTTCTTGCAGCATGGCGGACGCAGGTACATCGGAAATGGAAAGTATAATGTTACCGGATATGTCTGCTGCACAGTTCTCTTCGCTGCTAGGCGGCAACCAGAGTAACGATTATGTCGATACGTTGAACTTAAACCTTTCCGGTGATTATTCGAGCTCAGGCAAGATGGAGGCATCGAATCCCTTAAACTCAAACAGTGGCAACCTCGATGCGGCGGTGACTAGTTCGCCAGAATCGATCATCATTTCGGATGTAGCCGCTAAGCAGATAATGTCCGTCGCGGATTTTAAATGTAGCGGTGGATTGACTAATGACGTTTTGCTTGTTAGCGAGTCAACGGTCGCCCAGTGCAACAGCAGCTGTGATACGCTGAGAACGGTTCGCGTTGACGCTAAGCATTCTGCTTCGCCGGTTGGGCTAACAGCTCTCCTAAGTTGCAGCACCTCGACATTACCTGCTTCGAAAGGAACGAATAGCTGTAATAACTGTACTATGCCCGGACGGTCATGGACGCCTGATTCAGATAGCTGGGACAGTGGTTTCAGTGATTGCAGCATGCCTTGCAATTATCAAGTGCCTTTAATGCAGGAAGTGTGTATGCAGAATGGCAGTGCCATGTCTACCAACTACGGTTCTGAAAAGTTGCTTGATCTTAAAACTGTTAACGATTCAGTTGTTTGCGGTGCTGAGCCTGACGCAGTAGTTTCGCCCGACTTCATGTTCTGGAACGAAAGTTTACCGTCGATAGCCACAAATACTGCAAACGATGTGTTCAGCGTTTCACCAGTACCAGATTACGGGAAAGAATTTGGTTCGTCGTCTGCATCTTCGTCGTTATTCTCCTCTTCATCTTCGTTTTTCACCAGTGACGTTAATCTTAACGCGAAAGAGTGTCGCTGCGAACTGTTTGGTTGCAGCAAGATGTCTTTGGCCAACTCCAGGGCCGACTACACGTTGACCGGTGCTGAACGTTATTACGAGGACAGCAACTCGAGTTTAATGGAAGTGTTTTCTCGCACTTCGTCTGAGTCAATGGTGACCGGTATCAGCATTTCGGATGGTGAGAACCACGATGTTTTAACAGCAGTGAGCAACAACCTCTCGTCGTTTGACGCTGTTCAGGACATGACGTTTCAGCAGTCAGAACAGTGGAACTCTTTTCATCGATTTACTATTGAATCTTCACCAGAAGTTGGTAGCAAAAGCATGGCTAAAGCGATTACACTCTCATCGTCGTCAGATTCTAATTATCAGTTCTGCGTTGACCAAGAAACCTTGAACTCGCCTTTATGTCGGGAAAACTGTGGCCAGGAACTTGACTCCGTGCAGTCAGCATGCTCCGGCCTCGGTACTGACCAGTTCTCTTTGACTGGCGACACGGCGGTTGTTTCCATTGACAACTCAACGACTACTAGTGCCATTTCCAACGGCGGGTGTCCATCATCTGCCACTGTTCCGTTGACTGACTTACAGCAGATTTGTTCTGACGAATTGAACAACAGCCTTGCCTCATCGCCATGTTCGTTTTCCTCTTCTTCAGAAATTTTGCCTGAAATGCAGAAAATTTTGTCATCATCACCGGCACTCCTCAGCATACATAGTGATAAAGCACCGCAGACCACTGATCGCCGTTTTCGCCTTGTCGACAGTTGTTCCGATGATCCGCCGATCACCACTAGCCCATTGGCAGTGAGTGCGGCTGTTATTACAGAGGTGCACTCCAAAACCGCTGCCCCAGAATGCTTGTTAATACCGTCTCTTGAGATGACGGTGATCCTTCCAAGCTCATCAGTGGGCAACGATAAGACTTCCACCTCTGTGAATGCCGCCGGATACAGACAGAACCTTGCAGGAGGTCGACGTGGAGACGGCAGCGCTTATGCTGTCAGTGGCGCTCCGCGCCCCATCTTTCGCTGTAATGCTTGCTCAAAGACGTTCTTGTTGAAAAAGTACCTGCGACGACATGAGCGCATGCAACACCAGAACGGTAAAGTGAACTGTGTTGCCCGCCGAGCAGCTGACGATGCTCGTCTGAAGAGCCCGACGGCGACTGCACCGTACCTCGACTGTCCACTCTGTCCGAAAAGTTTTGTCAGCATGAAGCTGCTGAAGCAGCACGTCAGTTTTCATGCGAGAGCAGACTCGCTATAAACTAATTACACAACCAAAATGTGACTCTCACTCAAGACAAAAGTTTAACGTTGTTTAACGTCATTAGACGTTGTGTAAAACTTTATTAAATGACGTGTCTGTCGAAGTTGGCCAATTTACTCGCGCTTTCGAATAGCTGTATTACTGGATGCTGAGTTGAAGCTAGTGATAAATTTTGCGTTGGTTTGTACCATATATCTGGACTTGTTTTATTTTTTATGAGGTTATTATTACTTGATCATTATTATTCTAGTGTTATAATGTGCAATTATTTCTAGTGTTTTCTTATATTCTCTATTAATGACAGTCATTTGCTCATTTGTGATATAAATGTGATTGCTGACCTTCAGTTTTGATTCCATGTAATGGATTGAGGTTGGAAAATGGCTCGCACTTTACAGCTGACGTGTTCCTACAGTTTTGGTTTATTTAAACTTTTTGTGTTGATTTGTTTATTTATTCGCGATCTGCAGTGTCTGCTTTGCCAGTCTTGCGCCATTTTCCGCCACTGGTGAGCGATCTAGCAAAATACAACTGTTTTCTGAACGACACTGTTGATTGATGTTTTCGTTTTGCTTTGTTTTTGTCGCTACACTTGCGATATAATTATAGATGAAGGAAAAAAATTTTCAAGCGATTAGCTTTTTGTAGCGCTTCTAATGACCTGCTGATGTTCTTTGCGTTGTTTTATGCTTTTCATGTGCACAAAAAAATTAACCTGATCGGTTTGCATTAGTGTTCGCAGTAAAACTTTTTAATCTACTAGTGTCTAGATGCTTGTGTGTGATAATACCCGGTTGTTCTGGCCGTCGCATACTTGTTCGCAGTTGATTTTGTACCTATTCGTGTGTCATGCCTGTTTCGTTAGATATCTTCGTTCTCTTACGGAAAACTGCTGTCCAGGCTTTCTGATCAGGGTTAAGAAACAAGCCCTTAAATATTCCTTTCTAGCTGCAGAACAGTTTTGTAAGTACTTACCTTTTCATTGTGCTTCGCTCTACCCGTTGTTGCTTGATGCTGGATGTCCACGCTGACGTTTAACCTAACTACATGTTCATTTTATTTGAACTTGGCAGTGCCAGCTGAACAGCATCGACATCTTTTTTATTTATGTCGACGTTGTGCGTTCCTTCTAAATAAGGGATTGCGTTTCTTTGCGAACAATGTAAATTAAATATACCTATCGACAACGCACAGAACCATCAGTATATATATGCTGCAGTCCAAAGCGGTAATCCGTTGATGTTTATATGGACTGCCGCTAATTTACTTTTCAGTCCAGGCGTCATGTATGATTTTCACCGCCTTACTTCCTAAAGCTACACCTATATCAAAACCGTGGGGTAAAGTTAAATGTGCAAACTGCAATGCTGAAGTTAGGCATAGGGTAGGTCTATTAATATTCCAGTTTCAGTTCTTACGTATATGGACGCATTACCGCTCTGGCCGGTAGCAAATACTAGTCGCTGCAATTGCTTTCCACACCTGTAATAAAACAAATCAGTTCCTAAGGAGATGTCTGTAGAATGACTTAGCAAATGGTTCAAAGAATTAACTAATTATAACACCTTTTTATAAAGGTTCAAAGAATTAATTATAACACCTTTTTTATGTTTTCAGCATCTCATTGTTTCCTGTCTTGCAGAATAACAATTACCAACACCGATCCCGATGCTAAGTTACCCCCGCTGTTTGTTAATAAATGCCGCATTAATCTGTCGTTTATTTTTCCCTCATAGCCAGAAACTTCTAGGCATTTCTAATCTGGGCACTTAAAAAATGTGATTTTAATAAACTCTTTAACGTTACTTTTAGTTTCGCACCGAAAAACGTAACGTTACCCTCCTCATGTCCACGAGAAAATCTGCCGTTGCCGATCGCAAGCTCGGATAAAGTGGAGAATGGTTGTGGCCCTTGTTAAGCTACCGCCGGTCCCTCATGGCATTAACGACGTCGGAAGTTATACCTGCTCAGTCGTCGCTAGGGTTGCCGCAAGCCCCGGACCGTTGGAGAATTGAAACAAATTGCCAGAAGTCGTCGATTAGAACTTGCTTCATCTCTTCCGGCACCTGAAGGCATAGCATTACAGCGACATAGCTGTCGAATGTTTAAGCAAAGATGATGAAGAAACCGCTACTCGTTATGGCGCATCAGATAAGATGCCATTTGAACGACACCAACACATTAAACTAGGTCATCTGTCTCAGAGAGAGCAGGAGCTAGTTGATGAGGTCGTGAGGTATCAGCTGTATATAGTTCGACTTGTCAGCGTAGCATCAGGTCTCTCGAATCCTGAACCTCTTGAGTTGAATTTATTCTACCCAGGTGTTGGATCCACAACCGGCGCTCGCGCAGGCCTTGTTCTGGTGGAATCCAAATTGGCCGACTCTGTCATTGAACGAAGGCTTGTCAGTAGGAGGTTTAAATCTTCTGATAAATTGCAGCAGGCGTAATTTTTGGCTTTGTACAAGTCTGTGCGCCTTATTCAGAAATGGAATATGCGTTTTTCGTCCATGAGGAAGGTGGCCTGAAAAATTAGCCGACTACGGAATCTACCATTCTTCTCATCTCCGACCTCACATTAGACGCAGAAGATAGGAAAGTATGGTTTAGAAAACAACAGATTGTCTATTATGATCACATCTTCGAGCGTCGATGTGCTCATCAACATACATGGTACAATGTAAGTTTACAAGTTTTTTTCACAGAAGTCGATGATCAGTTTTATGATCGTATCGTCTAACGCTCTGCAGTGATGTTTGCGTTAAAATAGGGCATTGCTGTCAGATCAAACCATCGCCACCCTGTTGGCATCCTGCACTTGGAAAAATTATTACCATAAGAAGACTCGACACTAAATGGAACCAAAAGTTAAGTTGGAAGCATCTTCTTCTACGGATCCAAACGCGAAAGTAGGAAACAAAATTGTACGACGGTTTGAACAGATCGCCGTTATGACTTTCGGAGTGAAAACCGAACAGAGGCTGTTTACCTGTCACCTTCGCATTCCTCGTAAATGCTACAGTTAAAAATGCCTTGGAGTGCCGCTCGATGTCAGAAACGTACTACTTCGAAGACACCAAGGATTCACTTGGCTGTCTTGGAGAAGATTGATTTGTTCAAAAAGAGGCTTTGAGTGGTATGTGGTACGAGCCAGTACGTATGGTAGGAACTAAAGCAGTGGCTTATTCCTTAAACAATTTCGGTAAAGTGTTGTAGTCGAACGTCCGGACGGCAAAGAGTACATTCTGTCAGACCACCCATCGCCGCTGACATGGAAGGAATGACAATCGAAAATCCCTCTTTGGCAAGTCTGGGCACCTTACAAAGAAAAGAAATATACTGAGGCCATTGTGAGAGTTCTTTGAGACATTATGAAACCGACCAAACGAAGGGAGACTCACTTGAAGAGCATCAGGAAACAGATATTAATCTTTCATTAGATAAAGTCGCAGGAGCTGTGAAAAGCTCGAAAAGACGAAAGGCTGCTAGCATCGATAAAGTTCACACTGAAATGCGTAAAGGTTCAGGCGAAGAAGGCATGTTGCGGCCAGCACGTGTCTGTCAAACAGCACTAACTATGAAGAGACGCAGTTGGACTGGAGGACAGGAAATATAATATCCCTGCTTAAAAAAGATGATAGGGAGTGCTTCAATTAACGCTGCATCACCTTAGTAGTCCTTAGAAAAGTCCAGAAAGATATCAGAAATTAGTTTGCGGAATTTCTCCATCCCCAAGATCCAACACAAGCAGTAGTAGCAAGATCTTCACCCAACGACACACTAGTGATAGATCTTCGGAGTTTGGTCGCCCGGTTTTGCATGTTTTGGTTAGACTTTCGTAATGTCTGTAACCACGTTCCGTGCAAAAAAAACAGTGGGCACCTCTAGAAATATTCAGTCGATGGCCAGTTGTTATGCACCATTAAGCCATCGTGTTTATACCGGATGCTGCATGCACCACGCCGAGGACTTCCAAAATATGAACAAGTAACTCGATTTACGCAGGATCGATAGCGTTGTGTCTGATGCTGCTGGCTCGGCGTCCTGAAACGATAGGCAGTAAAAGAATCTTTCTTACTAGGTGACGATCGTATTGATCACGGTCATTTTTCTCCGATGAACTGAATGTTGTGCGTTCTTGATTTTTTTTACCAATTCACAGCTGAAGCCTTTGCGCATTGAAATCATTTAGGCATGCCTGATTCGTTCGTTTCCTTTTTGACGAGAGTCAGTTTTGCTCCTGTCGTTAAATACTACCTTCAGATGACGTTTGACGTACGCATCGTATATATGGTTGCGTCTTCTAGCAGTCACGTAGAAATGTTTCATTTTAGAATGTTTTCGTACTATGATATCCATGCATTATCCGCTTTTGAATACTTTTATTATAAGACCGAAGTCAAGCCACCGTACAAACAACGTATCATTTCTTAATGCAAATCTGCCTAATGTTGTTCATTCGTGCAGCGTGCAGTCCTGTCCGTCGACGCCTGTCTTCGGACACATGACAAGCTTAGGATCTGAAGACTTTAGGCAGTCTTCATCTTCCATCGCTGCTTCTCCTTTCGGGTCGCGGAGGCAGACGCGTCAGACAGAGCTTCCAATTCCCGATCCTGTGCCAGAGTCTGAGCTTCGGCAAAAGACAGATGGAGTCTGGAACAGACTCCTTCCATAGGTTTGCACCAGGTTAATCTTGGCCGTCGCCTGGGCCTAGACATATGTTTTCTAGACATTTCTTGAACCCTGCTTTCTTCTTTTTAACGGCCAGTTTTACCTCTCGGTCTCCACCATGAAGATCTTTTCTGACCTCCAGGGGCCAGGCTAACCCGTTTAAATCCGCAGCATTCTGATAGCCTAGAGTATGCCGCATTTGAATAGCTGCCACACCTGTTGTCGGTTTCCATATTTGTTGTCGCCACCGGGATCTTTTCAAACCATCGTGCGATATTGTTTGCAAATTTCGCTCTCTTGCGCATCGAAGATAATGTTTCCCATTT